AGTAACTGAATGGGGAATGAATGAACTAAAAAATATTACTATATTCGTTAACCATCCCGTAAAAATTCTGTGATAAAAGATTTTATTACTGATTTACACTTTCCGTTATATTTTATTTCCATTTTCGTCATTTTTGGCTTAACCCTGTAATCTTGAACCAGAACGAAATAAATTCCCATTATATCATTCTGAAACTTAAACTATCAAAACACAAAATCAATCCTTGCACGAAGCTAGGATCGAACACATGAATTCACCATTTTTACTTTCGGCGTTTTAATTTTTTCACCCTTACTCAGATAATTCGGATGTGTAAAAATGACAAAGATCCATGTTTACCGGCAAAAGAATTTTTAGAATGTGAAAAAGCAAGTTTTATCTAATCGTCGTGAAGTAGAGAATAAAAAGGTTTTAAACGTTATTTAAAGTATTAGAAGTAAAAAGATGAATTCATTAAGTGGAAATGAATGAACTAAAATCATTACTATCTTCGTTAATCATACCGCAAAACTTTTGTGACAAAAGGTCTTATTCGACTTACCGATTTACCGTTATCTTCTATTTCCATTTTTTCTCCATTTTTACCTTCGTCATTTGGAATTTTTACTTTCGATGTTTTAGTTTTTTGCCCTTACTCAGGCATACCTACACATCCATTGTATAATTTTTTTAAAGAATGATGTAGAATAAAACGACTCTAGACATACTTTCATATGATAAAAATAAGAAAAAAGATACAACGGCATATCTATAAGAATCATATCTACACAATGAAATTTTGTATTTTTCAATCATTTGAAAATGAAAATATTTGTATCACATTATAAAATCATCAATGATTTTAAAAATTAATAATAATAAGTAATACAAAACTGAATAAAATAAATAACAAATAAATATGTATTAACAAAAATAAAAGTTGGCTGAAATTAACAAAATTATTGTATTCAAAATAAACTCGATAAAAATAAAAATAAAAATAAAATATGTCTTTTATAAGAAAAATGAAGAACTAAATCGAGCCTACGAATGACAATAGTGATTAAATGGAAGTTATCTTATATATATATATATGTCAAAACGTTCAAAAAATAACAGTATAGAGAAATAGTCATAGTCTTGTATAATAAATCTGCATATGAAACTAACTGTATAAGTGCTTCTCTTTGTAAAAATCACCGGATCTATTTTAAACTGTTCTCCTCAAATGAACATGAATTAGTCCAATATTCATTTAATATTGAAAAATAATCTTAAAAAAATTTTTTTTTAATCTGACAATATTTTATTGACTCATTATTATTGTTTGAGTCTGAATTTTTTTAATAAATTCAAAATAATGTTTATGTGAATCATATTTTGGAAATTGACTGGCAATTGTAGCATGTGATGTTTTAGGTATAATATAATATTCAACATAATAATGATGTTGTTTTAATTTTGATACAAATCGTTGTGCATCTATTTCTAAACCTAAATCCATTTGTGCACTTAACACTAAAAATGGTACATGATGTAAATTTTTATCTGTATCATTTTGTTGTTCATGTTTAATAATATATTCAATTGGTGAATAAGTTAAAATATCATGAGTAGGAATAGCACTACTAACATACATTAAACGAAAAAATATATTACGAAAATTAAAATATTCATCATGTAATGGATTACGCAGACTATAGATACCGCTCATAGATATAACACCTAAAAGAAGAGAAAAAAAACCGATACAAAATCTCAATAGTAATATAATATATGTTTTGTTGACGTTTAACCAAGAGAAACCAGCTGAGTTTTGGATTTTTACCAAATGAAAAGTTACCGAAATGACTGGAAGTCACTGAAAATCAATTGATTTTGGCCTGATTTCAATGGACAAAATGGCAAAAAGAGCTCGGCGGGCTTAATTGGCTAAAATATAAGGCAAAAAGAGCCCGGTAAAAAGTAATAAATGGAGAACAGGCAAAAGAGCCCGGAATTTCTCATTAATCCTGAGAGAAACAGTAGGTGTAAAGAAGTAAAATTACATAAATTAACGAAAAAATCATAATACAGTACCAATGTTTACATGAATAGTATTTTAATGAAAGTTAGTCTTTTGGCAAAGCATATCTTGCTTTCTTCGTTCTACCTTTATTTCTTCTTATCGCGATCAATAACGGGACTGTTCGAACATCTCACATCATCATAAGACCAGTTGCATGCATACAGTAATATTCTTTTAGGTCACATTTACATGAACAAAAAATGAGTGGAACATTTGTGACTAATGTAGAATTCGAGCCGACAAATATAAATGCATTTAACTGCACTATTTGTGATTTAATTACTTTTTGTAACCATTCATAGGCTTTTGAATCAATTTCATTACCAAGTGCAATCATTGATTCATCATCTACTGTTTCTCTCAGGATTAATGAAAAATTCCGGGCTCTTTTGCCTGTTCTCCATTTAATTATTTTTTACCGGACTCTTTTGCCTGATTTTGACTATTAAAAAAAATCCACCCTCTTTTGCCTTATAATTTAGCCAATTAAGCAAACCGGGCTCTTTTCCCGACTTGTCCGATTTCAATTAGCTGTTTCCCCTTACATTTAACACTTACCTTTAATAAATGAATATGGATTTTTGATTTGATTTTTTTTAAAATATTCGGGATTTAAAACTAATAATGAAATTAAATGTGCTCCAGCTGAATGTCCACTCAAATAAATAGAATTAATATCTGCTTGTTGACAATGTTCTTCAATATGTTCACGCACGTAAGTAATTGCCCGACATACATCTTCTAACATATGATCAATATGTATAGGTTGTTTATAGAAATAGCGACCGATTAAAAACATTATTGGTATTATTAACACGTAAGTGATAGAAAATACTTTTAAATAAGATTTTTTGATTATAAATGAAAGTGGAATGCTAATTAAAATGGCTAATATTAAACATCGTAGAAGTAATACGTAGATACTTGGCGCAGCTAATCGGTAAGAAATAACAACACCAATCATGTTCTCTTTAGCTACACAACGTCCTATATTTGGTCCACCACGCCATTCATTATTTTTATTACCACGTTGCCAACCTCCACCATGGACATGAATTACTATAGGTATTTTTTGACTCTGTATGTTTGTTGTTGACTCAGTGGATTGTGGTGATGGTGATGGTGTTGGTGGAATCCAAATGTCGAGACGATGGTTTACATGAGCGGGTTCTGACTCTGTACCGTTATAGTAAACGATATTATGAATGACATTTGTATCAACAGGTGTAAATCTTAAACGAGATGTGACGTTTGATAATGAGTACATTTTGTCATCATATAATAAATGATCGAAAATAAAGAAATTTTAAATCTAAAACAAAACCTAAATAAATAACATCTTTAAAAATTAAATTTCCAGACAAGTTCCTTTTAAGAAAAACACCACACACAAGTCTAAATACTTCGCAACAAAGTGAAATTTTTCTTTTTTGTTGTCTGAATAGACTCTTATTTTTCTAGATTTATCACTCATGAGGTTTTTTTATCGATTAAAACGGTGTCCAAACGCGTTCAGTCGATGCTTGAAACTCGATTTTTAGCCATTTAATCGATATATACGAAACGCGTTTCTGTTATTTCGTCGTTTACACGCGTTTGGACACCGCTTCAATCGATAAAAACACCTCATGGGTAGGTTCACTAGATCAGACAAGATTTACTCATTCAGATATTGAAAATCTTCTAACATGTTCCATGTCTGATCATCTATCTCTGTTTAAGTGAACGACTAACTCATATTTGAATTTCACTCTTCAACAAGCCAAAGACACATTCATGTTTTCTGGAACTGTTGTTCGAACGTAAATATGAAACAGACTGTCAAGAATGGCTACGTAAAACGTCGTATACTATGTGTAATCAAATGTGAGATTCTTCAAATAGCGAAAATGATTTAAACTGTTGTAGACAATTATTCACACTAAAATATGTTTGTACATCATAGGAATATTACTGTGCTAAATTAGATCTTATATTATTCAAGACGTATCTCTCAAATAAAGACATATGCTATTGAGAGTGGTATTTATTTACCACGCTCACAAATCACAAAGGTAGAGGCAAACTCAGTTTTCATAGATGTTTTTCTGGTATCGTCAATACTGTTATCAATATTCATATAATTGATATTTTTTGCAAAATTTTTGCCTATTATTTTATATAATTGTAAAAATCGTTCATTACTCACTCATTCAGCTGCATTCTGATTTGACTATTTGATCAACGTTTTACAAGTCATCTATGATAGCTAACAGAATACATAAATAAATATTAATACATAAAGACTTTTACGGCAACTGTGACTTTTAGAATCGACACTCACAAAGGATGAAGCTTTTTGAACAAAACATCACACATATTTAGACTTATACTTAATATTCAACATGGTAAACGGAGAATAAATCTTAACTTAAAGAGTGAACACATTTACTAAAAGTTATTAATCTTGCCTCTGCACAGAATCTTTTTTAAAAGTACACAGTTTTCGTGTCTCATATAATAAAATAAAATATGTGATATTCTCGAATTGTCGACAAAAAATAGATATTCAAGCATGAATTGTCACACTCTTCAATTCAACTACTTTCACTGTAATAAATTTAGTTGACTGGTTAACGTGTTCGATTACTAATTTATAGTCTAAGGATCGAATCTCTTCAAGAGTATGCACCCACCAGCTAACCATTTCATGTTTAAACATAAATGAATTTGGTATACGTCAGTGCAAAATAGAGATTGCTGATGCAATAACCTACGTTCATTCGGTATAATGCGAATGAATCGTGGGAACGTCACCAAACACAAAAATCCATTTTTCTCTTAAATCATTCCCAGAGTGATTTAGTATGTGTTATACATTTAAACAAGACTGCAACCCTTTTGAGAATTCTCGTCTTGTTTATACGGTACTCTACAAAAGTATCCCCGGCACTCCTTCAACTCAAGGATCATGATGGCTAGAAACATTTACTTTTGTGCGGTTTCTATAGCTCTCATTAAATGCTGATCATCCAGCAAACTTAGACCTCTTTTAAGACTCGTGAGATAGAAGTGTTTCATTTCTTTTCTATAAAATGTCAATAGCTCTTGGAAAACGTTTTTCATCCAAATGTAGCCCTGATGTTCCTCTATCTACCGTATAAGTTTGAAGTGTTAGCTCTTAACACTTACCCAAGTACACCTATTTTACGTTCGAGGATCACTTTTGAAAATCGAGTTCCTTTCCGAAATATTTCAGTATTTCTGACTCAAAAAATGTACTGAATGCTCTGCAATGCTTACAGATTATTCATCCAGAGTATAATATGAACTTTTTATATATTTCTAAGCAAAATAATAACATATTTGAGTGCAGAGGACAATGGCATACTTGAAACTGATATACTTAAACAAAACAATTTCGTAAAAAGTTTTCTTCATGGGTAAAAGATGAGTGTTTTTTTGTTTTTTCTTTAAACTTGTTCTTGTTTATCAAAAAATAGTTGTATTTAACTTCAACAAAGGAACGCAGCTATGCTTGCAGACAAGTCTATGTTGCATAGTGCATAAAACGCTCAACCAAAAACCTAGCAGAATTACATTCTTTTTTCTTTTTTTTTAAACATGCTATTTGAGTACAACAAAATTAATGTAATCTTTCTAATGAGGGAACCTCCTGAGGTGCTAAAAACCTTTTTGAATGAGACTATTTTGAAAATGTAGACCCTCATGGGCTATGAAGAATCCCAACTTGGTTCGGGTGGAATCAGCTTTGTTGTTGAGATATCGAATTTTTACTCGAATTTTCCCCATGGGATCTGAATTTCAAGCAAAAACGGAGTTTTGA